GGGGGGGGGGGGGGGGGGGTTTACGCTGCCAAGAGATAAATCTGTCCTCCTGCCAAGCTTCCCAGATAATCAATCACACGAATGACAATGGAGACACACACAGTGTATACACAAACAATCACACACACACGCTTGAGTCCTGCGTCAGGTTTGGTGTTCTGCAAGGTGAATTTAGCTTGCTGGTGTGGTGGAGTTGTTCTGGTTAATTCCGCTCTCTACTGAAGCATCATCATAATCTACTCCCAGTCAGGTTGTAACACTATCACACATAACTGAGTTTAATAAAAAGCATGAATCACTCAAACCAACAGACTGGCAATGGCAGCATGGCTAATATGACAGACTCGGGAGAGATGAACAGGGATGGGTATCATCTCTCAGGACAGAGGGGAGGGTTGGAGGGGAGCGCGTGAGGAGGGTGGGGGGCAGCTGGAAGAAGAGCGAGATGAAGGGTTAAATCAAGCAGCCATGAACACTTAAGACTCCCAAAGGATGAAGTGAAAGGAAATCCTGTTCTCATCGTTCTGCCTCTCGCCTCACTCTGTCCATCCGTCCATGCATCCATCCATGTAAAATTGACGGCTGCTCACTACCTCCACCATTCAGCAGGTTACAGTGTGGTCATTCACTCAGTTATCTAAGACAAGGAAGACCCATTTAAGAAAACCAGACTTGTCTGCTTTGGCTTAAACTCTAGCCTGTATTTATTTTGCCACTTACTACAGTGTACTCATTCTAGACCTTTTCTAGACTTCTTTCTTGCCATGCAGAAGTTGAAAAAGTTAACTTGCTGTTCACCATGCTGCCAGTAAATGCTCCTTAATGTTAGACAGTCATCCTCTCCTGCATGAAATCATTTATGCTCCTCAATTTTTTCACATATTGCTACCGTTTTTTTTTGGCTGCACTTTTGAGCACAAGCTTTGGTCGGTCATAGATTGATGGAGACTGAACCGGTAATGTAGACAAAACTCCAGTAGGTCCGAACGCCTCATTCAGGAGTCAAGAAATTCAATTTGAAAAGCACATTCCGTAATAAACCCCAACAGTTACTATATTTGGAACTGAGAACAGGTTCTCGATATTCAAGTCTTATTTTCTCATTCAGCTCTTTACTCTGAGTGACGGGTGCCTACATGACCACACAATTTCCTGGCAAAGTTTAGAACAGATCTGGGTTATTTCCCATGAGAGATCTTTGTAGTTCTTTTTCCCTTCAGTGTTCTTCTCGCTGGTTTCAAGTGGGCTCAATTGGAAAAAGGTATTGTCACTTCTGTACACCAACCAATTAAAATTAGAATCTGGTGAGAGATAAGGTTTTCAGTGTTAAACTCTTAAAAACATCTTCAGTCATTATGTACCTGTGCCTCAAATCTAAGTATCTCTGTATAACATTGTATATTTCTAACTAAATGCGCAGAAATCAAAAAGGTTTTACCAAATGTCCATATCATTTCTCCATAGTCTGATTTTTATATTATTTCCTTCTGCTAGGCCTGACAAGTGATTCATAGGTGCAATATAGCTATATATAATTATAGACATTTAATAGGAAGTTATTTTGGCACACTGTAGCACCATAAATGTACCATTTAAAAGTATGAGAAGGTCAACAATTCATTTCTTGGCAGGATAAATTCTAAAGACATTTTACTCTTGCGAATGTGAACACTGGATTGTGCAAATAGCTAATGCACATTTCTCACATACGAAGTTTAAGTAACTATGCAATGGCAAGAGTTAATGTCTCATCTCTCGATCAGACATCCAAGAATCATTCACGGTATCTGCAGAAGGAAGCACATCCTCTCTGTTCAGACACTGCAGCAGTTGCGTGTCTCAGCTCTTCAGAGGTGAGGTGGGTTTCCAATAAAACTCACTCAACCACCAAAACCAAGACGAAACAGCGTACAGAGAACTAGCTTGACAAGGTGACCACACCAGTGCTCGTATTATCTGCCCTCAAAGGATGATTAAGTATGTCATCTCTCCGAACAAGGAAGCAGCAGCAGAACTGATCTGCTGTGGCTGTCGATGGATGATTTTCATTTCATTTCTTCTGACAGGATTGATGACAAGCCGATCATCGCAACATTTAGGATACATACATCTTTGACACATAGTTCTTAGTTTAGAACTGGGGTGAACTTGAACTTTACCAAAAGAGAGGGGAAAGTGGCACACAAGTCACACTAGTGTGTGGAATATGTTTAGGGACATTCGTTTGGAACACGTTCCTATTACTGCTCACAACTGACATGAATCTGTGATGAAAGCAAGCAAGCTCTGTCAGCCTGTGAACAGCATTCTCGTTTGGTTGAAATCCGCACAAACAAGGAGAGATGACTGAACATTAGAGGAGCATTTCCTAGAAGCCGCAGAGAGCTGGATGGTATAGCAGCTCGCTGACAGTGTGCATGAGCGGGGGAGGGGCAAGACAGGCATGTTATATGTCAACTAGAGTGCTGCACGCAACATAGTGAGTGTGTGTGTATATATGTGTGTGTGAGAGAGAGCGTGTGTACACTGAGAAATTACTCAGGAATGTGAGGATACATGCCAAAGACAAAGAATTTGAGTCACATTCAAGGGAACCTTACCCTCCTTGCCTCCTCTGAAGAAATATCACAATCCCATCAAAAGGCCTCGCCTGAGAGCCACACTGGATGGAACTAATGGAAGTCTTGTGCACTGGCTTAAGCCTGTTGGAGGAGTTTGATTGATGAGATTTCTCCCTGCAGATGAATTTCCTCTGACAGTGGGAGGGAAATCTAATAGCATCTGATGAAACCTTGATTGAAACTTTGTGAATTTACAAAAAGATGTTGACCGTGAAGATCAGACAAGTAAAGATTTTTTTTCTAGCAACACATTCATTGGCTTTTTAAAAATTTATTCATAGATTTATATCTCAAAAATCTTTCCGTACAGTTGAATTCACACATTCTTTACGCTCTATTATGGTTTAATCCTAACTTGAGAAATGGATAAGCACATTGATGGCAACGTTTGAGCTAGAGAGGGATCTCAAGTTAGCATTCAGCCATATGTGAATCAGAAACCACAGTCATAGACACCCAACTCAGACACAGCTACAACTTAATAAATACTTTACAAAAATAATGCAGGCTTTTTACAATGAAGATCTGCCTCAGAGACACAAGGGACACGGTTGTAAATTAATGGTGAGGAAAAAAAAATGTGCATGCTAAATAAACTCACAAGCTTACATGAGAACCTGGATATTGTGAAATGGTAAAGCCCCCCAACACATTCCTGATGGATCTCATTATTCTATTACCACAGGCCTCTCACCAAACATAAACAATCTATGGAGACGGACATGGACACAATCTAAACGAAGGTTCCTAGAATAATAATTTTCCCTTTTTAAGAATATAAACTCAGTTCTCCCTTTAGTGACCAAATCTGAGTTATAAATGGTGACAAGATTACTGGCAAAATTTTCATTCATTATTTTAGAGGCATCTTTTATAAAAAAACAAAACAAACAAATATTAAAAAACAAAGCAACGTTTCGTGCTTGGTTTTGGTGAAGTCAAGAAAAGTTCCTTGTGCGTTCAGACTCTGTTGGATTTTTATTCCTCTTGATTCAAAAGAGCAGTAAGTCTTGTTCCTCAGAGCCTAAAAGTTCATGTGTTATTTGACCTAAAACAGAAGAAAAAAAATGGTTTCAGCACCATTTTCGAGGTTTAGCTGAATATTTAAGCAGTGTGTGTTTTTCCTTTCACTCTACTGCGGGCTAGAATTCCCTTGCTTCTTCAAACTGTTTGTAGTAGTCCTCATCCTGAGGGTTGTCGGGACACTTTTGCCCGTTGTTTGGTGGCCTGGCCTGGTTGTAGCGGCTCCAGTCTCCTTTGCAGATGATCCAGGGCAGGATGTCCACCTTGTAGTGCAGGTCGGCGGAGAACTCCGTGCTGATGAGGTTGGGCGTGCCGGCCCCTTTGCCGCGAGTGATGAGCTTCATGTTGTCGTCGTAGCAGCAGTGCTGCGCTGCCAGCGTGGTGGACTCCAGCGTCAGCATGGAGCGGATGCAGTAACGGGCTGTGGGCTTGTAGATCTCCAGCTTCTCTTTTGGCCCGCTGGCATCTTTCCAACGGAAATCTCGGCGCGTGGGAGCATCGTGTACGTCTGCCGTACTGTACGCCACCTCAGTTGGGTAAGAGCAAGGGCAGCTGGGAAGGTCGTTTGCCACCTTGGTCATGTATTTCTTCAAGAAGTCGCTCTTGCAGTTCATCCATCGCTCGCAGCTGTCGGTGTCTGGAAGAAATGATGACACGGTTAAATGATACATCTCCTTCCCAACACACCCCAACATCAGGAGATAAAACCAGAAGAAGTGAGAAGGTGTAATATTTAACATGAAGGTGTGTTTTCGCTAGGTTGATTAAGAACAGACGGACAAAAAGAGAGTGGGCAGCAGCATACTGTGCTCTTCTTGCCCTGCTGCACATTTTCATCTCTGCCCAGTAATGGAGCGCAGCCCGAGCATGAGGAATTCTAAGTGTGCGAAGGAACGCTGCTGCCAGATGGATGAACTGTCTTTGATAAGCGAAAGAACGTTTGAATGAGGGGTAGTCTAGAGTAAGACAAGGGTAGGCAGAATCTTACCAACACCAAAGAGCTCTGTGGCATTGAACTCATCTGTTCCAGCTAACAGGCTCACTTCAGTAGCTGCTGTCTTGAAAGCATCTTCAATACCTTTAGAGAGATAAATGCACAGTGAAAGGTGGATCAAAAGATGAAAGACTCCGAAATCAACCCACACACTTGCAATCTATCCATTGACCCCCATCTTTACGGCTGTGGAATCTTTTTGTTCTGTGATCCAAAATCAAGACTTTACCTGGGCAGTTGGGCATATCGCAAGTTCTGGACTCGGTTGCTGTACAGGCATAACCACATGACCTGGTTCTCTTCTGGTTGCCATTTCCGCAGGTGACACTGCACGCCGTCCAGTTGCTCCAGTCCCCCTCTCCGTCCATATAGTCTGGATCAAGAGAGAAAGAGAGAGAGAGAGAGATCCTCAGCTCTGATGCAGGCCACATGCTGAACTTACTCAGGCCTGTTAGCATGCCTCACTAATAATAAGTGGGGGGAGGACATGAAAGGGGAAGTGGGGGAGCTCTAAGTTCTCTTTGACTTTGGCCCTCAAAGCAGCACCATGCACGCCTGTCTACACACACACACATGCACACACACGCACACACGCACACACACACACATTCACTATATTGTACATGCTACAGCAGAGTTGTAGAACCAAACAGTCCAAGGCGAAGGGTGTGTTCAGTTAGTGAAGTAACAGGGAAGCACTTTCCAAATTCCAACAAAGCTACAGGCGATCCAGCAGGGAAATTACAAATAGAAATTTTCCCCTGACACAGTGGCACTGGACACCGTTCAGTTGCTCTATCTGTGATTCATTGGTTTCAAAATGGGAAGTGAAATGGCAAGAAATCCTCTTTAACTCCAATTATCATTGAGCAGATCACTGTAATGGATATACATGGAAACAGTTACACAAGGCTCCACGACTACCTCACCCCACCACCACCACCACCGCACACAAACACACACAAACACACACATCTTGAAAGCAGTACTCCATCAATGAGGAGAATTAATGTGGGCATGTTGGGATGGAAGTATTTCTGGCCAAGGTCCAACCCTTCCTATACACCCCCTGCTGCCATCTGCCCCTCATTATGAGCATTTTGTATGAATACGGGCCAGATAGGCATCTAGCGCTGCTCCCCTCCTTATTCCATAGCTTACTACGGCCAAAGAGCTGGTGGCAGCTTAGACAGGACTTGGATTTTTGAAAACTTGATAATAACCTGCCCTCAACCCACAGATAAGACAACTGAGTGTGCTATCAGTGGCCTGTGATGGATGACCCTCACTGCCTGTCCACAATTATGATTATTAGGTTTAAAACCAGGACAGTAATGATGATAAAATATTTCCTTGTCCATTAGTGCGGTAAGAATGAGAGGGGACCGCAGCGATAAGCCAGAAACATTAAACATGGGCTATGGTTTGACAAAAAAATGATTATAAAATAGCCTTCCTCACCACTGTAGTGCAAGTGGATAAAATGACATTTACCACAGCACACGCATTCCTGTTCGACCATGTTGGTTTGGGCATGCTACAACACGGGCCGGACGCATACTGTATGACAGTGAGTGTAAATTCTTCCACGGCAGATTTATCTGTGGGGTTACTTTTGGAGAGTGTTGTGAGAATGGTGTGGCAGCTAAACAGTGCTTCTGGCCCCATTCCTGCTGCTGAACTTTGATGTAGCGAAGCGTTTAAACTGTGTCACGTAGCTAGCTCCGCACCACAGAGGAATCTATCTCATAAAAGAGTGTTAAAGGCTTCAATCAGGGGCTCCCAAAGGCTCGCCTGGGATGACTGCACTTATTATGGTGACAGCTTAAATCAGCAAATCTGCAAATTACAGATTCCACATCAGTCTATGGCCATCTGTGGAAAACGCTGGAGACCAGTGCTCAAATAAGAGCTTGTGGATCCAGCTAAATATTCTGCGACGTGCATTGTGCACTCATTTCCTCACAAACACGCCCTCCTGTCGTACTCACCATATTCAGTTTGAGCTTTGCTTCCTCCCCCGGTGCCTCCTCTCCTGTCCCAGTCTGCCGGCGGCCTGAGGAAGTTGCTGTCTTCGCTGTTGCTTCCGTAAGAGCGATCATGCTCCTCTGTTTGGTGAGTGGTGGAAGAGGAAGAAGATGAAGAAGAGTGAGGCCACCAGTTTCTCCAGTTGGGAGAAGCCCAGTTGGGTTTGGTTTCCTTACGGAGGCCTTTTTCTGGCTCATGACCCTCCAGTCCATCCACCACTTCAATAGTCACCTGGATTAAAGCTTAAAGTTAATATTTGAGTCATCAAAGAAGATACTTCTATAGCATTTGTGACCATAATGGGTCGATCGGTTGCCATGAGGTGACACTTTCTGATACCCCTACTCATGATATTACCCCCTCCCCCTTCCTGTCCCAACACATGTGCCTCCCAGATGAGGGGGGACCATCACCCCTGCCCCACAGTCACCCTCCCACCTCTCGGGCTCTCTCCACCTAAACACAAAGTTCAAAGGGCTACTCAGCCTCCTCCAGACCATGAAAGCCAGATGAATCCCAGGATCAAAGACACCCCCCTCCTCCTCCTCCCCATCTCCCACAGCCTCACGCCCTTGCTCAATTGCTTGCTGCGCTCTCTTCCCACATCTTGAGATGTTAATACACTTTGTTCGTGCTCGGATTTAGCAGTGATGCTCTCAGAAATGGAAAGACCCCCTCGCTGGATTAGACGAGAGAATGATTTAAACATGGCAGCGGTTACTCGGCCATCTGCACCACTGAGGGCTCGCCACACATTTACATAAGCTGCCGTCTGTCTTCCTGCACATAAGTTAGTAGTGAGGCATTGCTGGTTAGTGTCTGCCTTTCAGCTATCATTATGATGGACGTGACACTACAAGCCAGGAAGTGTGAAAGGGGACAGGGGGAGAAGGAAGGGGGAGAAAAAGGGGGTAGTGATGTGCACCAAACTATTCTCCTTCTTCCTGTTTGCTCTTCCTGTCCTATGTGCTTGAGTAGCCATGTCTTACAAGTGAATAAAAGCATCAAAGCACACTGGCAGGTGCACAGACACACATGATCACCTGTATGTTGGGATTCTGTCCATTGATATCGGCTTTGGAGAGGTCAGGGAAATTGTGCAGATCTAGTAGGAAAGCTCCGGGGCCGTCCCTGTGTACGTTGCTGCCTTGTGCCCACGGGAGGGTGGCAGGCCGGTGGGTCAACCTGTGTTCTGGACCAGACCTCCGGTCTTCTGGAGCCAGCTGGGCAGAGGAGCTGCTTTTTGCATTTATATTGTTCTGCTGAGGAGAGGAAGAACACAGTATGAATTTGTGATTGGTTTGTGCATTCACAGAATAAGATAATTAAACAAATATTTTACTCCCTTGTGTGTGAATGTAACTAAGGGGCTGTATGCCACTTGGCATCTACAGAGTCTGCACACTCAGCAACATTAGATTGATTTCTCATGTTGACAGAGGTTTATGCGGCCACGACCTCTGTCATAAATCCTGTGGACAGTGGACTCTTAACTCCTTGGAGCCCAGAAAGAAGGAGCCAATGAAAGAGTGGGACAAACATTGCACTGAGTTCTGTTCTGCGTCTGTCTGCTTCCACCACAATATAATCCGTCTAGAGCCGGCATTCAGAGCCAGTGTCAGTGTATATTTTTCCATTTTTAACTGAGCATGCTGCTGCTTTACCATAGTAATGTGATGTGGACATTTTTAGCATGTTCTGGTGCTGGCTGGCTGGGAGAAAAGAGCGATGTAAGACTGCACTGTTTTCCTGCACTGGGGCTATACAGAGAAACCTAAGCAAACATTGCAAAATAATTACATCTGCCTTCTTGAAGACAGAAAAACATTTGGCTTTCTGACAGGGCTGTTGTAAATTCGTCCCAAAAGGACAGTTGAGGCATATGTCCCCTGTCAGGTATGCGTAGAAGGGACAATTACTCCTCACTTGGACAGACAGCCATAAGTAGTCAGCAATCATCCATTCTAGGGTGGCAGAAAATAAGATCAAAGAAAGCCATCAATCACGTTCCTTGTTTTCTTTTTTCATGTCCCATTTCTTCCTCCCTAGTGTTTTTGTGGCCACGCTGAGGCCTGAGAATATGGCAGCAGTGCTGTACGGTTGCGGTGGCCAGTCACAGACAAAGTGTCAGCTCAGCCACATTGTGGTGGGCATAAAAGCCCCCAGCGGAGCTGTTTGTGTCCAGCCAAGGTGCACTCTGGGATAATATAGGCGCTGTAAATGGAGCTGCACAGCAAGGGAGGAAGGATTATAAATGTACATGTAACTTAAATTCAACCGCCGTGGGGACAGCGGCTGCACAGAGAGACTCCCATATCCATTTGAGCATCATTCTTCTTAATTCACTACCAGATGGAGTTTTTATGATAATATGATGCATTTCAAAGAATTCAAAAAACTTTCACATCACATATCTTAATGTGAACTACTGCCATAATTACAATAATTATACAATTGCCCATAATTTTGAGGAAGAAGGGTAGGTGGTTCTGCATTTTGCCTGTAGCCACCAAATAAAAAGAGGGAGAGGTTTTTACTGTAGATAAGATGACACGTTTTTTTTTATGAGAATTTATGTTCTAAATCATAAAATTTGAGGAAAGGAATATTCTGATAAAGATTCCAATTAAAACCACAAATGTCTTTTCCATAACCAAACAATTATGGCTGATGGCTGAGTACAGAAAAAAAGAACATCATAGGACCCTCTTTGGTTCTATCACAAGCACTTGGGCTTTGAGATGCCCACATGATAACCCCGTCTTTCAAGTTCCCAGCCTTCAGAAGTCACTCAGTGGCTGTAATTGAGCTCCACTGAGGGAGCCGGCCCAACACAACACTCACAGGTTCAATCACAATGTAACAACATACGTGCAATTGTAAATACAGTAAACAGGTGTTGGTCATTTTTGTGGGTTATAGATAGTTATCTTCGGTCCAAACATTACTGTTTTATGATACTGATACTACAAACTGTCATTTGAATCTGTTGCCAGAAAGCACTAATCTACCACACATTTCACTGCCACTGTGGACAGACAATTCCATTTGGTTTTCCCATCATATGACAGAGGTGATTTTATTCACAACACCTGTCATTTATGGAAATTCATCTAGAGATAGAACACAAAAATAACTGTTATTGAGTTTTGACTTACTACTTTCTCCACGGGTTGGTCTACGGTATTAAAAGGAAGAATATGCCACCACAAATGTTTCAAAATACGCGAACTATCGGCTCATGAAACCCACTCACAGTGTTTGCAGGCAGATTAATCCTCCATTATCCAGCCTAAGCCCATCTGAATCTTCTGTTGTGTCATATTATGATGTATTACACATGGCAGGCAGATTATCTAATCCTGACACAAATTTGGTTTATTTAAAGTCAAACTTAAAAGCATTCTGATCCCAGGGCAACCCTTGCGATGATGTTTCACTCAGTACAGGAGGCCATTGAGCTGAAGCCTGCTTGTAAACACAGACAGTTTGTGAGTTTATGGGCAAATACTGGTAGCTTAGTACTAATGCAATTTGATTTATGTTTAGGCCATAGATTATCTTGCAGATAGTTGGGTAAGAATGCACCAAATGGGAGAATTGCTGTGCTGAATATTGCAGAAGTCCTGCAAGTTTGAATAAAACTAGCAGTATTATTTCCCATCAGACTGCTAAGGATCCAAAAAAACACATAAGAAAGCAACCTTGAACAAACTGATTCCAAAATCTTCCATGACTAAAACGTAGCTTTTTAGTCTAAAATATTTGTTAACATTTTGAAATCACATGTCGCTGAACTCCAGTATGGAAGGATATTTCCTGATGTGCTCTGTTGACAGCAGACTGATTCATTGATACAAATCTATTTTATCACCATGGACAGATTTGTGAAAGTCACTATAAACTGACAGTTTGCTAAAAGGAAATGTGTTACCTGTCAGCTGTGAAAAGCTACACAATTTACAAACTGAGCCTTGAAGTTGCATAGAGGTGAGTTAGAAATCATTTAATAACCTAACCTAGGATTTCCCCACCAATATTGAACTCCCACAACACCGGAGTTACAAACCATTTTCTCTAATGTAAACCGATCCAGCAAGGACCTAAAGAACAATCTCATGTGATCAATTCCCTTGTAGAGAATTTGCTTCTTCAACCTCTCTTAAAGTCGATATTTGATGTTAAATAAACATTTTCACTTTCAGCCTTTGAACAGTCAAACCTTGCACAATAGATACCGCTGCGATGTGTACACAGTGTTGACATTCAGATTATTGTCTCACTTTCTTTGGGGCCAACAGGACAGATGCTGATTTTCTTACTGTAAACACATCAAAATCTTGCCACAACATGGAGAAATATCAGCCATAAATATAATGCTGTTGATTAAAGGCTTAAGCTGAATTGTAAATAGGATAACTGTGAGATAGCACTGCTGAAAACAGTCCATCACTTGGACAGAAACAGGGAAATCTAAGCTGCTTTTCCCCATAAGCACTGAGATTTCACTAAATCTATATTTTCATCTGGGAGCTCAGCAATGTGAAGGACGAACCATGAAATTTTATACATCCAAATAGCAGATTTTTTCAATCTGTCTCGATCAGTATTTCAGCAGAACAATTTAGGAGCAGTAGAGTTGAAAATGATGGAAAGAATGCACAACATGGGAATGAGTCATCAGAAAGGAATGGCAGTTGTGTATCAGTCCGTCAATTCTTGATAATGTCGACATAAACACCTCTCTGTCTTTTCCAAATGACTCTCAGTGGAGCTTTTTTAACACGGCTTAATGAGAAAAACATGCTGTTTTCTAATACAGCTCAGGCGGTAACCGTGCACAGGAGTAACTCATTTAAAATTTAAAAAATCAGCAGTGTCCCCCTTTTGATGGCGAGGCAGTTTTACAGTCGCTATCACTCATCTGAGATCCTCCTCGACGAGGAACGCGCTTTAATTTGGAGATCAAAAGTGACACCATTCCTTAGTTCATCTGGGGCCTCCCAGGATGTCACCCCCCACTCTCAAAAGCCATGAATGAACACTTGCACACACAAGCCCCCCCCCCTCACAGTATCTCCTCTTCTTTTCCCGCTTCCCCCTTTTTCAACATTGTGAGGGCTGCTTAAAGGGGCATGACTCCATTTTCAATTGGGAGCAACTCAGGGGTCCTTCCCCCAGGGAGGCTGGCAGGAAATGAAGGCAGTGCACATTGTGCCAGATGCTTTTCAGCGATACACTTATGTAGGTGGAAGAGAAAACTATCCTTCCCCTGTCACATGCCTCATACTGGGTGTGTGTTTATTTACAGGGTCAATCTGAGAAGGTGCATGCTGTAATTGGTTGTTATGAGCTCAAACGTGAAGGACTTCTTGATAATAAATGTAGCTAAGAAGGTAGAAAAGTGTATGTTCTTCGCTGACAAATACTGTTTTTAATATCACACTACACTGCCACAGTGGATGAATGTGGCTTCCTGGGTCAGTGATGATAATGTGCCTTGGACCAAAGAGTTTTCTCTCCCCACTACAGGTGCATGGAGCCGCATCCTGTCATTTGTGTTTCTGTGAATGGCATTTTAAATATGACACCTTGGCATGACAATACACCCCCTGGGCCGTGACAAGATGACATCACCATCTTCAGTGGCGGACCAGTCAAGCATGTCTGCACATAGTCGGAGCATTCATGAGCAAAAAAAACAAAAAAAAAACATTTAGTGCTTTTCTCAACATGGGGCATGAGTGGCCATGTTGGGCTCTTTCATCACGAGCCAGAATCTCTATGTAAATTTGGACTATAGTGACAAAAGGGATGTTGAGGCTGGAATGGCTGGCATGTGTTTAGTATTTTTACTGCAGTTCTTCAGGAGAAACTCCCTCCTGGTCCTCATCCCAGCTCATCCAATCCAACCTTTGGCTGTGTGACAAATATTCAATAAATTCCTGAAATATTTTCTCAGCTTTGCATGCCCTAATATCCAACCGAACACAGGCTTGCTGTTGCATATACGCAGGTCAGACTACATTGATGGTGGAGATAAGAGAAATTACCCTCACCATCCTCTGTTGAAGTAAAAATTATTTCCATTCATCTCCCCCAAACCCTGATAAAGAATTTATGAAGGGACACCATTCCAGTGGGCATAAATACCCATTTATCACTGGGACGTGAAGAAGGTATTTCAGTAGCATGCTAAATATACATCAAAAAACAGCTGAAGGATGCTTAACACTCTCTAAAAAAGCCTGTTGATCCCAGACCCGTCTTAACCCTCGAGTCAGGATTTGAGGCTCTGCTGGAGTCTGCGTGCTTTATGCTGATGTTAAAATGGGCAGTCAAACTATTAAAGCTGTCTTAAGAGGTGTCATGTTGACAAATGTCTTCCCTTGTTAAATTTTGTTGAGGCACGTTCTAAATTGGACCACAACACCAAAAAAGGTGTCATTAAAACCTGTATTTTGACCAGACTACATCAATGGCAAAGAATTTCAAGAAATTATATTATCATATTAATTTATGTTATAATTAGTCTTTTCCTTAACACTGAACATTAAAGTCTCATCTTTTCATGAGGCCATGCCCACACATGAATATAATGCAGGATCAAATAAAACAAGTTGGGCTTCAGGCCTGGAATAGAAATCAATTTGAATCAATCCCTAAATTCAACTCTGGGGCAGGAGAGGAAGAGAAGTGGGGGGGCACCTTCAGGGGCTCAGCTCTGACCCTCTGTCTCATCAACTGAGAGTTTTGGATGACAGTGATGAGCCCATGATGACAGAGAAGTGCCTGCAGCTAGCATTTAACCCCCAACCACAAGGAGGTGCGTCTGGTGTAGGGGGCTGATCTCTGACCCTGCCTCATCCTCCATCCCTCTGCTGGCTCCCTGCCATTCCCGGGGGGGGCACCCTAGGGAGACCACATCCGTGTGTATGTCAACAATCCCCAAAAAACTCACAGGGTTCCCGGGGGAATGGAGGTTTTATTTTACCTGGGCCACTGGCTCATGTGAGCATTTTATCATCCCCATCTGTGACCAAATGAGACCCCCTTTAGACATCACCTTTTTGCACCAAGTCCCCCCCCCTCAAGAAATCTCCCTCACCACTAACGGATTTCCGAACTCACCTCTGTAAGTGCTGTGTCTTGATCCAGGCTCAGAGTTAGATTTCCCTGGGGCAGCGGACTGCTCCGCAGCACTGTGATGTGCAAGGTAAGGAGAAGAAGTCCCAGGAGCAGCAGCAGTTCCGCCGCCAGTCGCACCATCCTTTTAACACGGCCGCTCTTGGGAGCCTGCGGTGTGGCCGAAGCTCCGACTCCGCCTCCTCCCGGTGCAGAGACTCCAATCTCCGGATCCGCCGGGGACGAGGAGCCGCAACACCACTTCGGAGCCACTTCGGGAATCAGAATTGCAAATGATGAAGGGAAAAGGATCGGAGATGATGCAGTCGAATAACTTGGGAGGGGGGAAAGTGCTTTAGGTTAATTTGGATCCAGTGTTTTTTTTCTTTTTTTTGTCAACTGTGTGATTGTCCTTAAATAAGATTTGTCCTCTTTTGCTGACTGTTCATATAGTTTGATTTGAGGCAAATATGATATGAGTGAATGCGCTGATCTGCAGGTCCGCTCCAGCGCGCAGCGTTAACACTTTCCGCTCTTGTTGCGCCCTCGTCAAATCTCCAAGCTCAGAAAACTTGCAGCCCAGTTGCCCCGTGCTGTCCCCACCACATTCTCAGCCTCACACTAAAGTCTTTCTCACTTCCACTTCAGCCGCTTTACGCAGTTCTTGATCTGTCCACATTCTGCGCTATCCGACGCTTTATTCGACGAGACTACCTTTGGAAGAAAAAAAAAAGTACAGGTAGTTAAGAAAAAAAAAAAAAAGCTTCCCAGTGAAGACTTCACGGCGGAGTTCTGACTGCTTCAAAAACAGTATTCATCCATTATTCTGCGGACTGTGAGTCCACCTAAATTAAGACACGAGTGCTTGCGCGCGTCTCTAACGAGTCCCGTTGGAGGAAACAAGTCAAACCATATCAAACTACGGCTTACTAGGACACGCTATTCTTGTTGTGCGCTCTTGAGGTGGTTTTATACTATACGCCCCTGTGCAGGCGCCCTCCCCCTGGTTAACTCTTTCATCCCTCTCAGCCAGTCCTCCTCAAAGTGGGGTCCGGTCGGGGTTAACACCAAATATTCTTGCGGGAGTTCAGGTGTGAAACAACCCCAAAAGTATATTATGCTCATTTTCCCCCATTGCAGATGAGATACATTTCAGTCCTTTCCAGTCACAGGATCAAAGTTACACAGAGATTATCTTTAAAAACTACAAAAGACTACAAGAGAACATCATGACAGATTTAATCAAATTTCCCTATCAAATCACTGATATGTACGCTGGTTAAGTCGTACTTTATTAACGCCACTATACAGGGACAATAAGGACTCCCTGGAACAACCTCAAGTAGCCTTGGTGGTCCCCGGAGGCGCACTGGGCGCACAGACGCGTCGCAGCGCAGAGGAAGACACCCGGAGGCGCTTTACAGGAGGTCCGCGTCTCCTGTGGACATGTGTACAGCAGCGGCCTTGTCTCAGTCAATTGTGATTAAAACGCCGCTACGGAAGGTGCTGCAACACTTCACTTAAGCAAGACAAATGGCGCGTAATGTGATTAGCCCTCGTGAGACTTTTTATTGTCCTTCTTCAAAGGACAGGTCGCTGTGTCAAATTACGCACCGAGCAGGGATGCTGCTGCTTCAGCCTGGGCGACAATTCACTGCACCCCGGAGGCATGGACCAGACCGTGCCTCTCACATCATTTGTCACCTTTGAAGTGAACACATTCAGTTTGGGCACAAGTGGAACAATAATATCTCCGAGGGGTAAAAAGATTTCATTACCCGCTAAGTGTCGTGGATTATTTGTCAGCGTCATGAGAGTTCGCATGAAATCATTTTACAAAGATTAGATGAGGACAAATTCCAGTCCTCAGTTTAATATTGGTTATTTGGTTGTGCGCATGAACGATCCTTGATGTGGCCAAATGGCGCATAACGCACAGCTCTGGTTAGGGCCATGACAACAGAACAGCAGCAGAGCCCAAGCATCACCCAAAGTAGATTACTACAGCCTATTTACACTAAAAACTAAATAAAAACTAAAATAATAGGATGAGTGAGGCTATTTTTTCTTAGTTTATTGTTCCTGCATCACATACAGTATATGATCTAACCAGTGTGTTAAATACAAGCAAAATTAATGAAAACAAAAACTAATCCTCATCATTAATTTTATTTTATAGCCCCAGGTGTCATAAACGAATTAGTTTGTCACTTGAACTGAGTTTCCAGCGTGACTGTTAGGAGTAATCCTGAGGAGAAACTCAGGCCCTGGACTCCAGTGTGCTCATCTGATGCCCATGTGTGCAAGAAAGCAGTAGAGTAAATGTGGTCTGAGTGGTAGCTTACTTTTTATTCTCAAGACATACAGTGAGCAGATAGTGATAATCAGGGTGGAGTAATTCAGCACCTTTGATGAATGCTGTTACCCAATTTCATATTTCATTCAGTCATTATATCCTGAATAAAGCTGCTCAAATACTTGATGAAGCTGAATTTGGATCAAATAAATGCTCCTATAGAAATTTTCTTTACTAATAAAATACACCACATTGGCCATCTTTATTATGCTCTTTGTTAACAAGTAGGTCCCAGTATACAGCTTTACTGCAGTCTTCACTTACATTCTTGCTTACTCCAGGCAGACCATAGCTGTCTAAACCATGTAAATCTGTTCTTTGTCTGCTTCACTTCAAAAATCCCTTTCCAGAATAGAAAAATCTCAGTCTAAATGGAAAACAGAGAGCAGAGAGAATGGCTTGCCTGCTTTGGACACAGTGGTGGACATCAAAGGCGTAGCAGAGGATCCCCCTTCAGAATAGCAGCTACATGCCATTCCAATAAGTGCAGTGTATTTGGATCTGCAGTTCAAAAGAGACTGGTGCAGGCAGGCAGGCAGGTCTCTGGGGCCTCGCCACCAGTAGTCTGGTTGCACAGATGTTTTGAATGCCAGCACAGACCATTTGCCACTTCTGCTGAAACTGAGGGCAGTTACAAGTGACTGGAGGGAAGTTTGGCAAGACACATCCCTCCCACCTTGACTGACAGTTATTGTGTATTACCACACTTCATTGGCCAGTTTGAAAGCAACACCCCTGGATTAGATATGTGTATACTGTATACAAACATTAGCTTTAATATCCAATCAGAAAATATGAATGAGAGGCAAATATAAAATGTTTATCAAAATTCAAGATTCAAGAAGCTTTATCCTTTATTCCCTTTATGCCAAGGGAAATTATCAAACTTTAAAGTTTGATGACGTGGGTTAACTGTCAGCATGATTGTTATAATATGAAGGCCGGGTGTGCATTGATAAAGATAGATTTAACCAAATTTGTCAGTTTTGTGTCTGTTGACAGCCATTTTGTGCTTTCCTTTCCATAAAAATAGCAGTTATACACATAGATTTATGGTTATATAAGTTTCCATCAGTTGAATCACAAATTTGTCGTCCAGAAGTCATTGTGATTCAGTTTCTTACATGTTACGTCTGAAAACAGACTAAAGCAAAAAGCAGTTAAAAACACCAATATGATATCTTCTTCTTAATTTCCTTCTCAAATATGAGATTCCTAGAACAAACATCGTTCCCGCTGTCAAACTGTACAAAAATGTTGCTTGTAAATCTCAGCAAGTTAAGAGTTTGCCTTTCTGCATAATCACAGAGCAGCTTAGTATTTGAGCACTCGGTGTCTGTGACGCACTGAGTTATGTCTGAGAGTGAATTCAAGCTTTTGACTTTCTCTGCACACAGACATCTGTCTCCTGCTGTAAACCCACAATGAATATAACGATGTTCACGTTTAGATGAAAATAAAAGGTGAAAGTAAACACAGAACAGAGATCTCAAGGACGTCAGTGCGGCCCCAATGCAACATTTGTGGCCACCTTTTCTCCTCCAGATCTTTATGGAACAATACATTGGTATGACATCAGGGATTTGAGGATTAACAAAACTGTTTTCTATTGTTTCTGGCTATAGGAGCCAGATGTGAATTTTCACTTACAGAACAAAGTGATATAGTATACAGTGCAGCGTAAATCTCAATGGTTTTCTCCTTTAGGGGAAAAGGGGTTTTCTCTCTCTAACTTTTCTTAACCCTTTTCCCTCTGCGTCTATGTTTACAGTTCATCTCGCATGTTTTTCCCAAGGATTGTATTTTTAATTCCATCTTGTTAAATGTTATCACTATGTTGTTTATGGGGAGGAAAAAACACAAACATGGTAGCGTCCTGAGGGCAAACAAGTGTCGACTAGACCCAATCTGACACATTGTGAAAACACATTTATCATCCATCTATAATCCTTCCTGTGTTAATCAAATGATTACCCCATACCACGAGAATTTAGAGTTCAGCGCTAATTGCTAGGTTAGGTTTCTGTTGGCTCAGGTGCTGCATACTCTGCATGCTTACCTTCGCAACTCTTACGCAGTTTGTGTGTGGAAGAGAACAGCAGGTCTTTAAAACATCAACAATTAAGCTGTTAAGATTTGGTGCATATGAGCAGTCTCGCCACAAAACAAGCCATAACACCTTTTTTATTCTGCGTGGGGGTTGTTGAGATTTAACTGCATGTCAAAGGAGTAATTGCTGCATGATCTATTATTTACAGGAAGGTTATCATTTACTGTGGAGATGAAAGTCGTGGTACGCTGAGGACATTTTTTTTAAATATAAAAACAGTTCACTTTGGAACGCAATAAAGGCATCATTGTCATCTTTTGCTCGATCAGTTCAGCCATGAGTAGTGTAAATAATCATGTGTCAGGAAGTTAACACAGTTCCAAAGGGAAGGTTCAGGACTTTCAGCAGCCTGTCATGTGGATTAATTAATCAACCTTCCTTTTCCTAAACACATTCAGGAAGTTTTCATGTGCGGTATTTGTGTTTTATTGGAAAACAATAAAAATCAGAAGCCTCAAAATTGGTGCAATGCAGCAGTACACCAGAGGGAAAATTTCAAACTATAAATTCCATTTCTTTACTTACAACTACTCTTTCATGTTAAGGAAGTAAATGAAAGTCCTTAAATTACATTTTTAGAGACTGTGCTCTTTAATAACCACAACCAGCATTTTAATAAATGATGGTTGACGTTTACAAGAAGCAAAAAATGCTTCCATAAAGAGTTCTTGATGTCTGAATGTAAACATGAGTAATTACAACAAGGCTCTTTTAAGCAAGTTTCTTTAAACTGACTTCAAATGGGAGTGCAGAGAAACTGATGTTCTTTGAACCTGAGTGTTGTTTGTCTCAATATGAACAGCTAAATAACTACATATATTTTACACAGTCCTTCAGTTTGAGTCCAGCAGTGCGTGTGCGATCATTTCATGTATATAATTACAAATAAAAATATTCAGAAACATTTCAGTTTCTCTTGTTAAGACGCACAAATAAGTGTGCTGTTAAATCACAATGTTTTACAAACATATAACAAGCAGCTGCCAAACATTTGGCCCCTCTTTTGCTGTGAGACATGGGTGTTACTCTATGTTTTGTGTTTATGGGTCTGTTGCTGCAGCACGGACAACTTCGTTTTGACACTGTGAAATGAAGGTGTCAAGGGTCATATCAGCTGTCCAGCTCAAAGTCTGTCTCATCAGAGAGGTCGGACCAAGAGGAATATTTCTTCCGTGAGAACTTCAGACAGAGAGTGTCTCCCAACTCGTTTAGATGGTGCAGCACCTGAGGACAAAGGAAATATGTGTATATGTTTGAATCAGTTGGAAAAAAAAGCCTCAGAGAGGAATTTCATGTTGGTAAATGTTTGTGTGTGTGTGTGTGTGTGTGTGTGTACCTGGTCCAGCATGGCTCTGGTGTGCGCTGCAGACAGACAGAAGCGAGCTCGGGCCTCTGTAATCGGCGTGGCTGGAAAGCCGACTACCACTACTCCAATTTTTCTCTCCAGCATTTCTCGAGCGAAAGCCCTGGGTAGCAAACAAAAAAATGAAACAACTATGTATATCTTGTTTTGTGACAGTTTGTGTGAGAATTTCTCTAAAATGCTTGTGTGGATCACTGCACCAGATTTTGTATAAAGTGTAATTCACATACTTTTAAAGGTAATTTTAATGTTTCCAAAATGCTCAGGGATCCCACATACAACCTCATAATCACCAAGCATTTGCCGCTTTGCCTCATTACATTAAAACTCATGAGAAATGTCGCTCCCAATCTATCCAAGTCCCTAATTAGGTGATAATTTTTGCAAAGGACAATAAATTAAAAGAGCACATAACTAACCATTTTGAAGGGCTAGAAGTCACCGATATATCACTGATGACTTTTACTTTAATGGTTCTAAGCAGTGAACAACTCTTCATTTTGTGGCTAAGTGGACAGATTGGAGAATTCTTACAATGTGTCCTTGCACACACAGAAACAACAGTAACACACACACATATGCTCTCACACACACAACCACATACATTAACTTTAACACACACAACTAACAAATTCAACACACACTTCCACAATCTCTCTCTCACACACACACACACACACACATTTGTTGTTGTTGTTTTTTAGATATTTTCTTGATTTTATGAAGGTTTTTTTCTTTTCTTTTTCCTCTATAATTTCTTAATGCTTTGGTAATATTGTCTTTGTTACACTCAATTGAACTGAATTGAATGTGCTCTGAAAATGAATCAACCACAGCAGGCTTTTAGTATATTCTTGATATTTATGGATGTGTTTGCAGTGCTCCATATAAATGCTAGTGCAACACATCAATGCAAGATCTACTATATGTCGTTAGAACAATGGCAATCCAAAAAGGGTAACAAGTAAACATAGTAGCTACAGATACATTACTTTCATACAATTTTGTTAACAAATTACTTTTCAGTTCCATAGATCTCGAAAACTCAACATTATAATTGTTTTTAGAAATGTCTGTTTTTAAAATGTATGTTCAGGAAAAGAAAATTCAACTTTTTTTCCAGTCCCTATTAATGCCCATGAAAAGGAACCATGTAAAATCAGGAGCTACTACTGTGGCTATATATGATAGTTTCTGATTATGAGGCCGGATTGGCCTTTTCATGGATATTAATGGTGTCTGGCATTGAAAGATACTTAATACTCAATTGATTATACCTGAGTGGCTCAAACAATCCTGGGTTATACAGAATCAATACCTTATGTTGCCTTTTAAGTGGTCACAGAAACCCAGTCTACACAGACAGTCTACACTACTGATTCATGGAAACTTTAGAGCCTGTAAAATGGCAGCCATCCAAGTCACTTAGAGATGATACACGTTGAGCTGCCCTGAAATTGCTTGTGACAACAAGGGATAGTTAAGTTAATATTTAATGTTTCAATTGTAGCCTCTTCACAATGGATATCCTGATAATCTAACTCTTCTCTAAAAGAGGCAAGTGTTTTTAGTGAGAGTTTAAGTGCACTTACACCACTTTGCCTGGCATGTAGAGCAGGATTGGAACCACAGGTGAGTCATCATTGCCATAGATGATGAAGCCCATCTCCTTCAGTCTGGCCCTGAAGTATCTGGTGTTCTCTGCCAGTTGGCGGACCCGTCTAATGCCTTCAATTAAAACAAGGACACCACCAGATGTACATGAGTACACACACACACACATATTTCCACTGTCCCCTGCAGGGATGGACATCACCTGTCAGTAGTAACTAATGTAGTGTAAGTTTTTTGCAATGCCATCTCATCCTGAGTCCTGCACCTCCATCTGGGCCATTCCAGCCTCCACTATGAACTTGCTCATGATTACAACTCAGCTGCCGCAGCAGATGGTTCAGTTTTGGTACACGCACTCGCACATTGCCAAAATGAGGGTTTGCAAATTGGATACGATGGATTTCGCGCAAAATGAGTGACTGTGGACTGCCACTGGAGCGTAGCCATGACTGAAACGGAATACAAACAATGCTTAAGTATGTATTTCAAATACATGTATTAGAAAACCAATCAAAGGCTGCAGAGGCGTCCTGCCGTGCTAACCCCCTTTGTTTCCAAATGATGTGAATCACTGGGGAGCCTGGTGCTCGGTGGCTGCAGCAGAGTTTGGCATGGCCCAACCTTGGAACACAGCTCTGTTTCCCTCTGATTACCTGGGAACAGATTGGCAGTTCTTTCATGGGGATGTAAGAGAGCACTTTAAATCCCCTTATCTCAGCAGAGAGCGAAAGAGAGGAAAAAAAACCCCACAACATTCAGGCATCTGCCAAAAAGCCCAGGCTCCATTTTGTAAATTGTTCCTTTCTGCTAAGATAGAGGGCATGGAGGTCAGAAACCTGCTGCCAGACCCAGAAATCATATGAGTAGGTGAGAATGTGTGGATGTCGCTGTCTGTCAGGGTTTTTCCCTATTTCAGAGTTGTTTCCACCGGTTTGCTTTTAAGTGCGAAATTCAACATCAACGAGAAAGATGAGTGGGGACAGACGAAGGCCGAGAGAAACGAGGAATAAAAACTCATCATCCGTATAAGAGTGTGCAATGTTTCAGTTTCTTGTCACAAATGCGTTTTTATAGTGTTGTGAAGGACATTAGAGCTGATGTTTTGAAAGACTACACTGTTTGCTGTGTTCCCTCCCCTCTATAAGACAGGTCAAGACTGATTTTTTCCACAACAGCTATTTCACTGGGCTACGTCAGATGCAAAGCATGTCTGGTTCAGAGCCAGATGAGAAAGTTACTCATCCCTGCGTGGAAGTACAATATATCAACCATAAGACACCAGACTTCCTAGTCCTTGGAGTGATTAACCCATTACAGCAATCTATGACAGACGTGTATTCTTATGTGTCACACAGTTTACATGGTTATTGTAGCATTATGGGGCACACTTTAAGTTGGGTAAAGTGTATTACTATCTGTCATTTACTTACCACTACCACATCATCCACTCTATGTACTAACTCTACGCCCAACTACAACAACTACCAGAACTACAACTACAATAACTCAGGAAGAATTGCTCTGGCAGTACTGCGACTGGTCTGGAAATGACTACTTCCCTGCCCTTGTGTCTGATGCCATTAAAGCAGAAACTTTTCAGAGGTACAGCACTCCTCACAAAACACACATGAAAATGATTTCCTCCACGTTAGGGTCACGTGTGCTGTGACTGCACGTCCCCCCTCTTTCAACCACTGCAGACCCCTGTAATTGCTACCACATTTTCTGACCAAGCAGCTGTTTGTCTTTCCCTGCAGGTCTGGACTTACTCCTAATGTTAACATTGGTACTGTCCTCTGGATTTGGTTTGCTATTGTTTCCATAAAAAATTATATTAAGGTGTAAAAAATTTTATAAGCCAGACATAATATTTGTCTGTGTAAAGAACATCAGGTTTGACGAGTGTGCAGATAACAAGATTGAGATCGAGGATGACATTCACTGGAAGGGGGGAAGTGAGCTCAGACACTCACCCTCTGTGCTCCCGTCTTTTCCCATGATGCACTTCATGGCACGAATGATCTGCTCAGTGACAGGAGGGGACATGGCCGAGGCGTATACTGCACTGTGAGAATGACTACGCAGGTAGTCCACCAGCTCCTGCAATATAAGAAACAGTGGCACACAAATAATGTTAAAAAAAACAAATTGAAGAAAAATCTGATTGTATATGTATTTACATGTATTTACAGAAATAAAATGTTCTTTAGATCTTCTATGAAAAAGAAGTGTGGCGCTGCACTTTTATTTTAGCACCACTAGAGCGAGCTCACGTATAGCCAACACCTGAGAATCAATTAAAATACCTCAAGTCATTTCTCTGTCACTATGACCATCTTGGCAAGGACTATAAAATAGCTCTGGATCCTTTCCTATTCTCCACTGAGAGAGCCAGAGCACTAATTTGAGAAAGAACCAATGCTGAAATGAGCCAAAATGAGGACTGTCATGCTCATTATTCCTAAATGTCAACAGGAGATTAATTCTGGTAGTGTTTGTCAGGAGAAGAGCGGGATTTCAGGAAACTGATTCGGTCATGGGTCCCTCGAGCACGTGTGTGTAAGTGGTCTGAGGTTGGGAGTAGGCCTGGAGCTGTGATGGGCTGCTGCTCGGTGGCTGCGTGGTGGCCAGCGGGTGCGGGGTGATGACACGTAGCCGGAGATGCTGTCTGGCCACCATTTCCACTCACCCGCCATCTGTCCCCACTGGGCGGCGGCTGCGGCTTCCTTGCACAGATGAGGGGAAGGGATTTTAGGGGAAATGCTCAAACGTAGGATAAGAACCTTGAAACAACCTGACATCTGTTCTTGTTTAAGGCAGGGGATTTTCACCGCTTTAGGGGCCCCGCAGGATTTTGGTGCGACCAAGATAAACCAGTTAAGAGAACATGTCCGAAATCCATCTCACGTCTGCGGCATGGAGTGACAGCTCAGAGTGTTTCCCCAGCCGCACGGTGGCCACAGCACTGATGTGGTGATACAAGTCTGCGATGCCACAGACTAGGAACGGTGCCAGAACAGCACACGCACTTGTACACGCTCGATTCTTCAACGGATGTATTAAATAAACGAATTTCAGTGCAATCCATGTTTTGAGTAAAGGGTTAACGAATAAAGCCTCTTTCATGCAAGGTTGAAGTGAATTAGAAGGAGCTCGGAGTGTATTTATTGGGGTATTTATTTTTGGTACTCTCATAAAATAGCTATAACATGACTGTTTTCCAGAACACATCTGCAGAGTCTTTTGTCGGTCAACCCGAATGCACTTAATGTAGCATTTGGGGGATTTCACCACAACAACAAATACGTCAAATCTAGAGGCTTTTTCTCTCTTTTTCTGCCTGTTTCTTTCAGGGGTTTACTACAGCCAGCTGTCAAACAAGGCAGAGTGTTCATACTTCAAACATTATCATGCTTGTTAAAAGTCATCCTGTTAAATCTGGAGCGCAGTTCCGATGCCTGCCACAAGAAGGGGCTGGCCCTCTGCCAGCTTTACCTTCTTATTATGGCAGAGAAGGGCTGAGCCAACATAAGGCAATGGCAGGAAGGGTCCCTATCTGAATACCTAATTCAAGCAACATGGCCGTTTCCTCTGTTGCTTTCTAATCAACTCCTACAAAAGCGGTGTGGTTATGTACTAAAGTGTACTTTTTAATGGAGTAAAAAGGAATTACAAAGGCCCGGAGTCACAGCCTGGGGAACATTTGTTGGACACATGAGAGCTACAAGGGAGGTGGGGTGTGATGGAGTGCGTACAGTATGACTGAATCCCATATGTCTTTAGAAACAGACTTGGGTAAAATAGTATTGGAAAATACTGTATAATGTTTTCTAACCTGCTTTGGAGCCACATGCGTTACTTTTGTTATACAGACAATGGTTGCCAGGTTATTTAAACAAGGTCGGGAGAGTATCACAAAGTCAGCTCATTTTTATTTTCTAAGCATGGCAACTTACCCAAGGCTGTTGGAATAGTTTCAGTGTGATTAATCCCACCTACATATATCTTGAAATTTATTTTAACACTGTTTGGGTCCAGGAGGATTATTTTTGCATAGCAACGAGACTAGTTTCTGCCTGACTGGAGAATCAACAGGTCTACTGCACTGTTTCCGAATTCAGTCTTTCACAGATGTTCAATGAATTGAAAACAGTGATGATGGATGGTATTATAATTTAAGAAAGGCAAAGTTGTTAAGAAGTGTAAAAACACAGTTCCGGTTTAAAAACAAGAGTAAAAAAAGAATACATTGTCTTTTCTATTAGCTCTCATGCTATGACAGGACAGGTTGCTGTTTCATATCAGTGTCCAGCCTGGGGTGTCCTGGTAACCCAGCGTCCTTCATCCTGCAACTCCCCCAGCAGTGTTCTTTATTGTATGTCATCCCCCATCTCTACAGTCAGTCTCTCTAAGTTAAGGCTAAAACGTTTCCGTTGCCTATGCCTTTTAAAATTTGGGACTATTCAATTTTTGTATTTTACACTTTTAAACCATGTTTACATGTATTTTAGGATTGCCTTATTTTACAACGTAAAGCACTTTGAATTGCCTTGTTGAAATGTGCTATACACATAACGTTGCCTTGCTTCTATCACCCAATGCTCTCGCTGCATGTTTTCATTCACTCTCTAATGCCAACTATCTAAAAAAAACCAGCAAACTTAAGTGTTTTGAGTGGGCCTGCCTTTAGAATACATGTGTGAAAGTAAATTAAGTGTAGAATGAAATTCTGTGAACCAAAATCCTCAGGTATCAAGTGATTCAATATATAAATATATAGGATAAAACATAAGGAAATTTAAGATATTTGGCTACATTCATAGTAACAAAACTGTGAGATAAGTATATGAACATTCATTGCAAATGAAAAATGAAAGCAGAGAAAGGTGAAGCAGAAAATCTGAAGATCCGCAGAAACCTTTTTCCCTGCAATATAGCCTCCAGCAGCCCCAAAGCTCTTGGTGAAGGTGCCCATCATCACGTCCACATCAGCTGGGTTCACATCAAACAGCTCTGTCACACCCCTCCCTGACGCTCCCACTGCTCCGATACTGTGGGCCTCGTCCAGGTACAGATACGCTTTATACTTCTTCTTCAGAGCGATGATTTCAGGAAGTCGCACCACGGAGCCTTCCATACTAATGAGAGAAAAATCACACAAACAAAGAATATATAGTTACACAAGGAACAAGAGCGCACACGCTTCATCAATTATAAACTAAACTCTTCAAGTGATTAAGTTTAAAAGGAAAAGAATCTGACCCTGACCTCACTTTATGCACTGAAAAGCATATGGACATCTGTAAATGCATATTATATAATTTGGCATGCCCCAATCTTCCAAGATTCCTTCTGCTGGCTTCCTTCACTTTACTCCCACCTCTCTCCCATCTCTTCCTCCCCTCTGATGCGAGCCTTTTAAGGCTACAAATAGACAGCATGAGTGAGTATATGGCTGGGGAATAGAGCAATCCCAGACCTGCTATCCTTGCTATAGCTGACAACGTCTGCAGCCCAAATGACATAAGACAGGGTTTCACCAGGACCGATGTGGACATCAAAGGCCAGCCCAGGATATAGCTAAAGCTTGCTTACTCTTTATCCCAGCCTTTTGATGTTACACAGAGGCTAGAGAGGCGGCATTTCTTTAATGTTTGAGCCTGACATTAGACATTATTGCCTGATAAAGGCAGGCTGATGATGTGCAATTAAGTTGTCTTTAAAATTACCAGCATTGTTGTGGAACTAATAGTTAATTAATTCCAACTGATGGCCATGTTCAAGGTTTTCCTCTTCATTTGTTAGGAGGATTGCCATAAATCAACTGACTGCCTGGGAATAAATGTTGTGAGGGAAAAATAATAATTCGACTAAAAGCTCAAAGTATACGACATGTTTTAGTTCAGAAAGGCTGAAATTTAGGGTGAGGTTGAGGGCAGAAAGAGGGAAGAAAGGAGAAAGGAAAATGGCCGTGATAAACAGTTGGAGCTGGGGGTGTAGCCAAGTCAATCTCTGTGGCTCCATTTGGCCTTGATTTGGAGCTAATGAGCAGATGGAGAGGGTCACTAAGACTCGGGATAGCTTACTGCCGGGAGAGACACACAATACCTTTCTCGCCTCTCCAGTAATCAAACGGTACCCAACCATACACACACACACACACACACACACACACACACATGCCTACTATCTATTATTCAAGGGTAGAGAGGGAAGCAATTGGAAAAGAGACCATTACAGAAACTGCTAAACACAGGCTGGAAGCTCTCCTCAGGTTACAGATGAAGAATTCTACCTGAGTTCCTAACCCACCTGGAAGCCAATACTTACAAAGATTGATACAACAGCTCAACCGACCCAATATATGTGTCTGTGAGAGAGAAACTACACTACTGTGTGTGTGTGTGTGTGTGTGTGTGTGTATGCTGTATAATGATGGCTGACCTATAGATGCCTTCCACCATGATGAGGATCTTCTTCCAGGGCCTGTGGGTCCGAGGCTGACCTGAGCAAACTGCCTCACTTAGCATCTTCTCCAGACTGTGCATATCTGATGGATGAACACACACACACACACACACACACACACACACACAGTAACCTCGTCTCCTGGGAGATTTTGTTCATATGCAACTCATTTA